TCACTGGAGCAAGCAAGCCTCCCTGTTCGCTTCAGTGCATGGCTGCTGGCCGCCATCTTGGCTGACAGTTAATTTGCATAAGGATATGCTGATTAGCCAATGGGAAGGGTAGCGTCCGTATGCTAATTACCATGTTTCTCTTTTATTAGTGTAGACTAGAGGCCCAGTGCACGCATTCATGCACCAGTGGGGTCCCTTGGCTTGGCCTATGCCCTCTCACAATCTGGGACCCCTCGGGGGATGTTGGAGAGCCAGTTTCAGCCTGATCCCTGCAGGCCAGGCTGAGGGACCCCACCGGTGCATGAATCCATACAAGGGCCTCTAGTATGCATGTAAAATCTTTGGTTAATCTCTTCCCACCCTCCCCCCTTCCCTCTGAGATTCATCAGTCTGTACCATGTTTCCATGCCTGTGGTTTCTGCTCTTGTGTTGAGTGTCTGCCCCCTGGTGGTCAGTGCACATCATATCTACTGGCCAGTCGGCCTGTCGCTTAGGCTTTTATATATATAGGTTATAGTATAGTACTCTACATAAACATTAACATATGTATTAAATATATACTAAATAATTTTCAATGACATGGAGAAATGCTTGCACTATGACAACTGAAAAATAGCAGAATGAAAAATTGTATGTATCGGAGTGATCTCCATTCAGTTTCTGAAAGGGTTTGGAAAATGTTTGGAAGGAAACTTAGATGTCCTTGAAAGGTCAGATAATGCTTATATTGTCTCTTTTCTACTTCTGCTTCATTATTTAAATACTCAGAATATATTGCTTTATAATCAGTAAAGAAAATAAGCTTTTAAGTAGGCATTTGCCTTGCCCCTTTCCTGCCCTCACAGCTGTAGCCCCTTCCAAACAGCCATGCCCATTCTCACCAAGCATCGCTCTATGCCTGGCATAGACACACTGGAATATATAGTTGGATCCCATTTTCTGGGAGCCTGAAGTGGAGAGATGAAACAACTGGCCATTAGACAGAAAGCAGTGATTACTGAGCTCCATGTTGTAGACTTCAAAGGCAACAGATGTTGAGAGGAGAGAAGGATTGAAGCTCCCTCCACAAGTCCTGGAAGGCTTCTTAAAAGACTTTCTAAGCTGCATCTCCCTAGCTGATCAAATGCTGAGTCCTTGACATGCTGTTGGACACCTGTGACCATACTCTGAAGGGAAGGGTGACACAAAGTCACTGAAAATCTCCAAGATTCCTGTGACATAATACCCTGTGCTTCTAATTTACTGGATGAAGAGTTATTTAAGGTTCAGATGTGCAGATACCAGATGGTTGACGGAGCAGGGTCCTGTTCTGCTCATAACAATGATGGAGATGCTGGTAATTTTGTCATACCAGAAAGGAAAAAAAAAAAAAAAAAAAACACGTTTTGAAGCAGCAGCTATGCCATAGACTTGAGGCAAAGGCACCTGGGTTCAAAGCCACTATTTCTGTGACCATGATATTCTCTGATCACTATTACCTCCTCTGTAACCCTTTATGAATGACGACTTTAATGGATGCTTACTGTGACAAGTCAGTTAACGTGTAAAAGCATAAGGCTTGGCACATAGTTCTCAGAAAGTGTCAGTTCTTTCTACAATACTCCCTCCCTCCCTGATTCCTTCCCTGCTAATGCTAAGCACTAGTTGGATTAGTTTTTTCTCATCATGGAAGTTAATGTTATTATTCATGTTTTACTAGTAGAGGCACAGAAACTGAGGCTCAGAAAGGAGAGAAAGTATGATTATAAGCAGGTTGATCGCTTGCTGCTGGTTTCCAATGTGGATTGCCACAGATCAGGGGGTCAGCTCTCTGTGGTCTGTGGGCTAAATATAGCTGGCCACTTGTTTTTTGTAAATACGGTCACACTGGCCCAATTAAGTGGTTACCCCAGAGGTGTTAGGCCTTGCAAAACCTAAAATATCTGCTATCTGAGGTTGCCATAGAATCAAAATATACTTCTAGATAACTTCTAAATATTTTTTGTAAAACAATTACCCAGAAAGTACGGATGGTTCCATAACTGTTTTAATTCCATCTTGATTGACTTGCTCAAAAATATTTTTCTCTTCAGGGATGAAGATAAAGTAAAAACTTGGAAACCCAAGTTTTTTAAGCCAAAGGGGGAAAAAGAGAAGAAAGATGCTCAAGGATCAGAAAGGTAAGTGCACAGGTGTGCCTACTTTACAGCTTCTCCACTCCAGGCTATTCCTCTCACCAGCTGCATACACTTAGGCAGTCAGGACATTTGATTTTCAGGTTCTTCATCTGCACAATGAGAATTGCCACACCTAAATGATGGTACAGTTGAGGGGATTAGAAGAGACACAGAATATGAAAATGTAAAGAGCAGCACACATTTATCTACATAGTCTCTGCTTTTGGCGAATGGGAAGTGAGGAAAGATTTCAAACCAGCCCTTATCAAACAATGAAAACCTTCCAGTCTTCTTTAAGGCTGAAAAGATTTTCCCCCTACAAGACAAACCTTATATAATATACCAGTCTGAACATATATGAAACTCGGTGTCATATCATAAGACTGACTTCCCTAAAACACAATATAATTCTAGTTATGTCTACATTAGTGTTAATTTACAAAATACTGTTTTATCAACTCAAAATCTAACCTTCCCTCATGTGATTCAAGCTCCCAGTTGGATTCGGTGGGCTTAGGGGGAGGCAATGTTTTTCACTGTCTTGGGTGGTGACTTGGTGCTTAGTGCCCCAGCCTTCACCTCAGTTACTAGGAGATGGGGCAGCTCTGAGGCCCACTGTTTAACCAATGTCTTCGGGAAATCCTTGTCTAAATAGTCATTATGCTGGGAACACTGTGTGGTCTGTCTGCATTGGGAAACCTGTCTAGAAAAGTCCTACAAGGGGCACCCCAAAAGAAATAAGACATTAGCCTATGCCAAACTTAAACTCAGAGGACAGCATACAATGACCCTTCCTTTATATTTATTTTCTTTGGGTTTAGACTTGATGTAATTTATTTTTCCCAAGTAGGAAAGATGTATTCACAGACTAGAAAGCACTTCCCACCTTCAACTTCATAGCATAGCAAAACAGAATTCCAAGAGAGGAAATAGAATTTCTTACTGCCCACCCCCCACAGACAGCTTCTTAGTATTTTAATGACTGCATGTAAGTCTTTTTAGAAAACCATTTTCTAGTGTTTTTTAATTCTTACAACAAACTGATATAATAGTTTTTATTCTCAACTGAGTAAATTTGAAAATATGGTAAATTTTTAAATGCAGTATGTTGAGATTATCATTACTCCTGTAGATGGATGTATCAATTTCCATGTGCTCCTGACTCTTTTTTAAAATAATTTCTACCAATTTATTCTACCAATAAAAAATGCTTTCTATATTAGTACAATCTTTTCACTCTCCCTTTATTAATGTAAGATGGCACATTTTCAGAGACGCTGGGAAGGATGTGGCAGGTCTAAAGTCCTGGGTAGGATAGCCCACCTGTAAGATGCCCCACGTGGACTTTGCATGTAGCAGGAACAGGGCAGCTGGAAGGCAGACTGTGGCCAGATTCTAAAGTGCCCTGTGTACCATGGGACTAGGACTTCATCTCTGAGGCAGTAAAGACAGATTCAAAGTTTTTAAGCAAGAGAGTGAGGCGGTCAATTAGATTTTAGAAAGATGACTGAAGACAGGTCTGCAGGTAGATTCGCAGAAGGAAAGACAAGAGGGGACATGGGAATGACTGTGCATAGAACCTTGAATATCAGATGAGAACTGCCATTGCCTAAAACATGGCAGTGACTGTGGAATGGAACATATAAGTAATGCTTCTACATAAAACTTGATAGAACCTGTTTCCCTCTGTCAGTACATTAAACAACTAAAATGAAGCTCCAACCCCCAAATGAAGAGCAGGAGGGAGGAAAAGGCAGTAAAAGCATAGTCAGCCTCTACTGTAGGGTTATCCACTTTTTTTTTTAAAATATATTTTATTGATTTTTTACAGAGAGGAAGGGAGAGAGATAGAGAGTTAGAAACATCGATGAGAGAGAAACATCGATCAGCCGCCTCCTGCACATCTCCTACTGGGGATGTGCCCGCAACCCAGGTACATGCCCTTGACCGGAATCGAACCTGGGACCTTTCAGTTCACAGGCCGATGCTCTATCCACTGAGCCAAACCGGTTTCGGCTGGGTTATCCACTTTTATGTCCTGAAATTGTTGCATACATTTTGTGGCAGCTTGCTTTATTTTCTTAATTCTGTCTTCTCCGTAATCATTCAGCAAACTGGAGAGGTCTCTGATTGATTCCCCAATTAGGTTTCAAAACTTGGAAAACCACAATATGTGAGCCATTTATTCTAAGTGGTTTCCATTAATCTGAGGATGAGTGGGAATATTTATAATGTTATGTAAGTTTCTTCTTTCAGAGAATCTGATTCAGAGAAGTTTCTCATGTAACTTAAATTGTTTTTCTTTTTTTGTTTTAATACATTTTATTGATTTCAGAGAGGAAGGAGAGGGAGAAAGAGATAGAAACATCAATGATAAGAGAGACTCATTGATTGGCTATTTCCTGCACGCCCCCTACTGGGGATCAAGCCTGCAACTCAGGCATGTGCCCTTGACTGGAATTGAACCTGGGACCCTTCACTCTGCAGGCTGACACTCTATCCACTGAGCCAAACCGGCTAGGGCAAATTGTTTATAACCAATTAGATGTTATTCAAAGTTATCTTGCTGTCAAATAAAAATGGTTAATTGCAGGGGGAAAGAACTGGTATTGCTTGGTTCAGTTGTTTTGACAATCTGCTATGGTTTGTGTATAAAACATATATAAAATTATAAACAAAAAAATTCCTAAATTTTTACTGAAATAGGAACACTTTATAAATTTAGAAACTTAAGAGTTTTACTAGTATACTAGAGGCCCAGTGCATGACATTCGTGTACTCGGAGGTGTGGGGGTCACTCAGCCTGGCCTGCACCCTTTCACAGTCCGGGAGCCCTCGGGGGATGTCCACAGGAGCGGGCCTAAACTGCAGTCGGATATCCTCAGTGCTGCTGCGGAGGCAGGCCGCTGCACTCGCCAGCCGTCAGCCTGGCTTGTGGCTGAGCAGTGCTCCCCCTGTGGGAGCGCACTGACCATCAGGGGGCAGGCAGCTCCTCTGTTGAGCATCTGCCCCCTCGTGGTCAGTGTGCATCATAGCAACCGGTTGTTCTGCCATTTGGTCAATTTGCCTATTACCCTTTTATTATATAGGATAGTACATTCAACCCTGCCTGCATTTTTCTTGCCAGTCTATCGCCTAGAAATTTCTTCAGAACCAAGAAGCAAAACTTAGAAAAGAGAATGGAAAGAGAAAAGCTTTTTAGAGAAAGATTTGAGGTATGTTCTCCTCTGAAGGTAAAAACAACAATATTACAGGCTAGAAACTTCTGTTTATAAAGATTCTGACAGGATGTTGCACCCCTGCCTGATTCAGACATGATTTCTGACTAAAAAGCTGGTATTTTTATGTTTTCTTGATGCATTCTTGTATTATCATGCCTTTGTATATGCTACTTCCTCTGCCTAGAAAAAGTCCTAAGGTGCTCTGTCCAGATGTCACCCACTCTTGCCCAATTCCTCCAGGTGAAGTCACTCCCTCAGCACACACATTACACACACACCTGTTACACAGATCAACGGTGTTACAACCTGTGCACACACGCCCATTGGGAACTAAAACTCTCAAGTCCCTTTTGAAGGAGAGATTTTGTCTCACTCAGATTTGCTCCCCAGCTCCCAACATAAACTGGTGAAATACTGCTCAGTGCATGAGTGAGACACTGAACAAATACATGAACAGTGAAGAAGTGGGTGAAGCCTCTGCAGCTCCTGGCCTCTTGCCCTGTCACAGAGTCCGTGGGCATTTTCCTATAATTCCAAACGAATCGAACGATTCTACCTTCTGGCTTTATATATGACCACAGTAAGAATTTATTAACTTAGGAACTTACTGAACACCTCCCATGTGCCAGTCGCTGGACTGAGAGAGACGGAGTGTACATCCTGCTCATAAAATTTGTCCAAGTTATGTCTCTGCCTAAAAACTTTCAAAAGTTCCCCATTACCAAGTGGGTAAAGTTTAAGGCTTTGTAAAGTGGCATATACAACTCCTCATGTCATGAAGACACATGAGTTTGCTGTAGACAGTTTCATACTATTTAACTGTGGCATGAAACTGTCTCCTGCAAATTGTCATGTTATTTGACTAGTTGAAAAATCAGTAAAATTTCTTGTTGAAAAAACCCCAGACATCCCATCTAGTGATCCCCGCCCCCAACCCACCACACACACACACATACTGTACTTGAACTCGGATGGGACAGAAATTCCATTTTCCATGTGTATAATCCCATCCATCCTCATTACCTATGATAGCCTTCCTTGATATCCCATCAGAAAAAAAAGTATTCCATTTCAATAACTTTTATTCAGCTCAAATAATAAACTATTTGTGCCAGGCATTGAAGGTACAGGATGAATAAAACTACCTTACACTCTCATTTTATAGGACAAATGTGTATTATAATGCTGTAACAGGAGTATATACAAGATGCAATTAAAACAGTAAATTATACAGAGCAGTGATGAAAGTCTTCATGCAGGGTGGTTAAGAGGGAAAAAAAAAGGTAATCCAGGCAGAGAAAACAGCATGAGCAATGGCATGGAAATATGAAAGGTATGTGGTATATTCAGGATTATCATATAGCTTGATGTGGCTTCAATAAAAGAGACAGAAATGGGGGCATGGGAATGACAATGTGCAAAGGACCTTGAATATCAAGCTAAGAAATGTTATTCTGATCCTGAAAGCAGTGAAGAGTGGTGACCTAATCTGATTTGCGTTTTAGGAAATCACTGTGTACTCACAGTGAACAATGGCCTAGAAAGGGTAAGAAATCACTTAAGAAGCCATTACTCTATAATACAAATCTGTCTTTTGGATCAGATCCCACTTGGTGTAGGGTGATCTTAAAATTCATCATCCAAATTCAGGAGACTTTGAGAGTGGAAGGAGGCATACCTCATCTTAAATAACAAGTATCTGTAAATAAACACTGTCCTGAGCAAAGGGAGAAGTTTGGCCACCCAAATTTGGTAAAGTGACACCTGTCAATATAAGCTATATATTCTGGAACATTTCTCTTTTTTTCAGTCAAGGGATCTCAATACTTAGGTGATGTACCTATAAATGTATAGGCCAGCTAGTTACCCCTAAGGTCAGATATTGAATTGCTCAACCAATATCAATCAAGTTTTCTGGGGTTTTTTTTCCACAAATCCCTGACTTTGACCACAGAAGGAGAGTGGGAATTTCCCCCACACCTATTCTTACTATTTTAGCTATATATAGAAATATATAAATCCACCCAGAGGGGAAAGGTGGAGAGTATGTAAGAACATTATAAATTCTAAGAGTTTTCTCTCCCACCTCCACCCTTTTTTGTAAACTTCTCCTTTCCTGGGTTTGGAACAATTAACATTACTATCCACAGTATTTAATGTATACCTATGTTACAGCGTTCTCATTCACCAGAATGCATTCAAGCACAATTAGATAATGGATGTGAAAACAATGAAAATGCGATCTTACCAAGCAAATATAAGATTGTGGCATTTTACCATTATTTCCTTAAATAACATTCCTTTCAATGATTGTTTTGCTATTATTTTCTATTCCCTTAACAAATTAATATCTAGCATCTTGAGTTTATATTGTAGTTACTACTATATTACTTCCTCCATTGATTTTATTATAATGAAAGGAAAACGATGCAAGCACAGTCTGATTAGTGATTTCTCATTCCAGTATGATAAAGAGATTACTGTCATCAACACAGCAGTGGCGTGTTCCAGGAATTCAAGAAATGGGATCTTTGATTTGCGAATAACCCCTGGAGAAGAACTGGACGTCATTGATGTCACTGAAGAAAATCTAGTGATATGCCGCAATTCTAAAGGCAAATGTAAGTTACTGGCTCATTGCCCCCAAAATTTCACTGTTTTAAAAAAAAAAATCTCAAAGCATTCTCTCTATAACTTAGATTTTTGTTTCTATAGATGGATATGTGCTAATTGAACATCTAGATTTCAAGTAAGTGGTTTGATTTTGTACTTCAAATAATGAATTCTAAACACTTACCACATTGTTGTATACATTCATTTCAAGGAAATACTACTCAATTTATTTACAATTCAGGAACACACCTGAAAATTAGATATGTGACGCCCTATTCTATAAAAATTACTTTGTAAGAGACTTTATTATTGTCTATTATTGTCTCCTGAGTGTGTTATCCAGCTCTACAGAGCATATTTATAAACATTTTAAAGGAGCGTACAAATATTAAACAGGGTAAGAAATGCCCCAGAAATCTCCTGTTCAGTACTCCACTATTTACATTTCAAAATATATTTCTATTTTTTCTTAGGCCTCAAGGTTGTTCACCTTAGGAAGATCCACATCCAGTGTACCATGCACAAGTGAGAACCAGGTCTGAGATACTGGTCCTGCTCCCATCAGTTTACATGTCAAAATGAGATGGTGGAAACGTTCGTTAGGAACTCAGAAGAGAAAACAAACAAATCCTCCACATTTAGTTGATTTTACTCCCAAAAGGTTATCTTTCCATGTCTATCTTACTGCTGGCTCAGAGAATGGGAAAGTGTGTGCTAGCATTTGAGCACTTACTCAATGAGCCACATCTGAAGTTAGCAATCATGCCTATGGCACTACCTAGTCAGTTGTACAGATGGTTAGTGTGCTTCCCATATGAGTACACAAGTGTTTATAACGTACTAAAAGATGCTGTACATTTAAAATGGGTGTAATTTAATTCTAAAATAATAGTGCAACCATTTTATACTCAAAGTACAATTACAGCTCAAGGTATAAGTGTTCTGCTTTGTCACAAAATCAGACTCAAAACGGGTTTCTTTTGGAAATAGTATACTGAAAATCCACCCAATATACTTAAAGAAAATATATGCTGTATTGGTTTAAAATACCCTGTTGTCCAAAAATAAGTAATATTTTGTCTATGCCTGAACACTTATTTAAATAATAGAATTTATATGAAAGTAATGAAAAGTAAGCTGTTAATAACATTCTGTATTTCAAATGATGTACACTGTCTGCTAAGCAGGGTGATTCTAGCGTTCCAGGGTGTGAATTTACTCCATGGCCACATCCTTTATATACTGTGAGATTATTTCATAAGCTTCTAGGTTCTTTTATTTCCTTTTTCAAGTTCCAAATAGCACTTGCCAATAAAGGCTAAGCTTATTCTAGAGACAAGAATCAAAAGTATTACAGTGTTTAGAGAGGGAAATAGGTATGAATGAAATGTGTCAAAGAGTAAGAAGGGCAACACTGAAGCTTGGCCTTTAACCACACATGTATTTGCTAGACGAGGCAGAGATAGAAAATCCACACTATCTGGTGACCAGGAAGAAATTGAAGGGACATGGCAAGAGCTGGAATGGGGTAAATTGGGGCTAGAATATGACAGAGTGCTTACTCAAAGGTCTTAAACAGGAAGGCAATGCCAGATGTTTAGAGAGAAAAGAAAAAAACAACCCCAGCAATATGGGTGATATATTAGAGAGAGGAGAGACTAGGTGCTTTTGCAATATTCTAGGCAAAAGAGCATTTGACCATAAGACAGCAATAAAAATATATAGGGCAGGAGCCTCACTAGAGATATTACAAAGGTAAGAGGAAGAATTAGGGAATGACTCCAAGATTTCTTGGATGGTACCCAAATTGGAAATATATTTCTGCTTGGATCCCCTAAACTAAATGTACCTACTCAGTGAGAGGCAGGGCAACCACAGCCCTCTCCCACACCTCGGGCCAGACCTGTTACAGTGGGCAAGGAGGTAAGTGAAAGAGAAGACAGGGCTATGCAGAGCAGAGACCTTTCATGCAATAATTCTGCAGTGGCAACAGGACTAAATTTTAACTGAGATGGATTTGTCCCATCTCCTCACATGACCTTTTGTTCTAATTCCATGTCTCAGCTCAAAGTCTCAATTTTCTCATTAGTAAAACAGCTAACAACACTCACCTTATCTACTTCACAGGGGTTGTTGTCAGGCTGCAATGTAATAGTATAAATAAGTGTCCTAAAATCTTTAATTCAGAATACTGTATAAGTGCTGTTATTTCAGTACCTGGCCTTTTTTGAGGTTGGAAGATGTTGAAAACAAAAAATGTGTTTTGAAATTCAAATCTTAAGACTTGAAAAAAATGGCTGGGATGTAAGTACTTTTACATAGATATATAGGGTGCCCCCCCCCCAAAAAAATGTATATATAACCTTTGAATAATTATAAAGGCAGTGTTTATGAAAATAATTTCATTTTCAAAATTGCGCTATCAGCTGTTAAAATGTGTATACATATATTTGGGATGCCCTGTATTTAACGGGATTTTAAAACTGAACATTTTCCTGTGTTTTTAAAGTATAAACCATTTGATTTAACATAAACTAGTACCTCATTACTATTTGTCGATATGAACTATATTTTTAGGAAAAATAATTGCCTCTAATCCATAATCAATGTGACTGTTTCTATTTCACTGTCAGCCACATTTCTTCCATTCCTTAAATCATACCTAAATTTCTCACTCTATTGATCTGTAAGATTCTCTAATGTAAACATCATAACTCATCATAACTGAGACTTCAGTAATGTCATGTCTCTATTTTACTTTTAATTCTGCATGAAAACATATCAGTAAATATAACATTCTGTCAGATAAAAACCATACAAATGTACTTGACCCTAACAGAGACTCACACTGGCCCACACAAATTCATTTATCGGCCAAGTCACCAACCACCTGTTAACATGCACTGACAAAACCTTCCCTTCTTCCTGAGACTTCTGTGAAACACTTGGTTTTCCAAGATGACATAGCATCTGCTGACTGGGCCCTTTCTTGCACACCTTCAGAACTTTTAGAACACAGATTGTAGGGGAAGAATAGGAAGAGGGGAAAAGAAGAATATTTAATGACAAATTCCTAAGACGTAGTTGTTTCTGGGTAACAGGGTTAGGATGATTTCTTTTCCTCTTCTTCAAACATCCTGTACTTTTCAAATTTCCCACAGTAAGCATGCACTACCCGTGGAATTTAGGAAATAAAGGAAAAGCATTTTTACTAATCAATACAAATTCCTTCTTCTAAGTTTGGAAAAGCAAATTGAAATCTGGTATGTCTTGACTTTGATGTGTCATTAATGAGGACTAAAGTACAGTGTTTTTCAAGAAGTTACTTTTAGGTATACTAGTATAAATATGGATAGTTACCATTACTGGTAGTACATAGGATCCCATCTGCATTGCTTGTTTTCTAGTCTCAGTGGCGGTTAGTATAAAATTTTGTTACCTGAGATCTTCTAGGCCATTCCCTTCCTGTTCTGTGGCTGTTGTAAGCAGAACGGTGGCCTCCATGATCTTCATGCCCTGGCTGGCATTATACCTGTAAATATGTTACATGACTTTATAGATAAAATTAAGGCTGCTGACTTTAAAATGGGGAGATTATCCAGGTGAGCCCTATTTAATTGCATAGGCCCTTAGAAGAGCCAGCCAGAGAAGTAGTGGAAGAAGAGGCAGACCTTTGAGCCATGAGCCATGAGCCCCCTATTGCTGGCTTTGAAGATGAAGGGAGCCATGGTCCAGAGAATAATAATGGCTCTAGAAGCTGCAAATGAGCCACTCCCCCTGCCATGGTAGTGGTGACCCAAGACTCCGGCAACCTGGACATAGGGGCACCCACCACCCTTATCCCCCAAGCAGCAACTTCCACAACCGCAGTGGTGCCCTCCACTCCACCACCACAATGATGCCAACAGCACCGGGCACCAGAGAGCAGAAAGACACAAGTAGTGCGTAAGAGAAAACTGAAACACATTATAGCACCTCCTATTGGAAAATAAGACCTCTAATTATCAACCTGCTGAATTGTTAAAATCAAAATGGTACCTAAACAGGAAATGTGTTCACTACTTAACTGCTCCAGAGGAGGAACAACACATCAAACACCATGAACAACCAAGATAACATGGTATCACAAAAAAAAAAAAAAATGACAATTCTCTAGAAACCAAATTCAAAGTCATGGTAGACTGTATCTAAATGACAGAGAATTCAAAATAGCAGTCATGAAGAAACTCAACACAATACAAGAAAACTTGGAAAGGAAGGTCAATGAGATCAAGCATAAAATTAATGAACAGAAGGCGTACATTACCAAAAAGATTGAAACTCTAAAAAAAAAAAGAAGAAATTCTGGAACTGAAGAACTCAATAAATAAGATGAATGTATTAGAAAGAATTGGAAACAAGGCAGACAGATCATAAAGAGAGAATTAGCTCGCTCAAAGACTGAAATCTAGAAATTATTCCGGTTGAGGAGTAGAGAAAACTAAGATTTTTAAAAAATGAAAAAACTCCATGAGAACAACTGAACTCCATTAGAAAGGGCAATATAAGGATAACGGGCATTCCAGAAGAGAGGAAAAAGGGAACAGGATAGTACAAGAAGCTAACAGAACACCTAATTACCTCAATGCAAAGAGACCTTCTTCAAAAGGTTATATTAAAACCCAAAAGTTAATGACAAAGAATTTTCAAGGCAGCCATGGAAAAAAAGACAGTAACCTGCAAAAGAAACCCGATCGAATTATCATCAGATTTCTCACCTACAGGCCAGGATGGAGAGAATATGAGAGAGAAAATCACTGGCCACGTACACTCTAACAAAATTATCCTTTAGATCACGGCTGGGGAACCTCTTTTCTGCCAAGGGCCATTTGGATATTTATAACATTCACTTAATATAAATTTATGTTGCTATGAAGAAAGCTCCTAGATTTATTGAACCTCAAATCCTGCCTAGGATTGCCTTGGCAGGGCCAGACCAAATGATTTTGTGGGCCTTATATGGCCCGTGGGCCAGATGTTCCCCACCCCTGCTTTAGACATAAAGGGGAAATAAAGGCTAACCAGACAAACAAATGCTGAGGGAAATTACCACTATGAAACCCGCGTTACAAGAAATGTTGAAAGGAGCTCTTCAACCTAAAAGAAAAAGACAAAATATTTTGAGGAAGGTGTCTGGCAGAAGCAGGAAATCACAACTCTTTCGGTTGTTAAACACTTAAATATAACAAAGGTTAAAAGGGGGAAATGCATTAAAAACTTTAGCTACTTCAATTTGATAATAAACACAAATATATTATGGGATAATTTGTGACAACAAAAACATAAAAAGGAGGCAACTGAAGTTTAGGCAATTGAAGATAAAACGCTATCAGAATAAAAAGGACTATTTTATCTCTGAGATATTTTATACAAGCCTCATGGTAACTACAAAACAAAAATCCAGAGCTCAGACATGAAACAAACAAACAAAAAAAGGAAATGGAGAAAAACATCATAGAAAACCACCAAACTAAAGTAGCAGACAGAAACACAGGGGAAAGAAACAATGAAGACACAGAACAATCAGAAATCAAAAGCTAACATGGCAGTAGTAAGTCCACATATATCACTAGTCACCCTGAATAGAAATGGGCTGAACTCACTAATCAAAAGGCATGGAGTAGATGGATTAAAAAACAAAACCCAACTATAAGTTGCCTTCTTAGAGGAGACCCATCTCAGCACCAAAGACACACACAGGCTCAAAGTAAAGGGGTGGAAGATTATACCTCAAGCAAATGGCATCCAGAAGTAAGCAGGTATAGCCATACTTTTATCTCCTGTGTTTCTATATACTAAAATGAACTATCAATAACTAACAGAAAGAGAAATGAAGAAAACAACCGCAAGACAAAGAATAAAATACCCAGGAATAAATTTAGCAAAAGAGGTGAAAGACTGGGAAAACTAGAAGACATTGTTGAAAGAAATTGTAGAAGACACAAAGAAATGAAAAGGTATTCTGTGTTTATGGATTGGAAGAATTAACAGAGTTAAAATGTCTATTTTAACTAAAACAATCTACAGATTCACTGCAGTCTCTTCTCAAACTTCCAATGGCATTTTTCAAAGAAACAAAAAAAAAATCCTAAACTTTGTATAGTACCACAAAAGATCCCAAATAGCCAAAGTAATCCTGGGAAAAACTAGAGGTATCACACTCCCCAATTTCAAACTACAAAGCTATAGTTACTAAAACAGTATGGTATTGGCGGAAAAACAGATACATGGACCAATGGAACAGAACTGAGAGCCCAGATATAAACCCACACATATATGGAAAATTAATTTACAATAAAAGAACCAAAAATACACAGTAGAAAAGTCTCTTCAAAATATGATTTGGGAAAACTAAAGTCACATGCAAAAGAATGAAACTACACCATATGTGAAAATTAACTCAAAGTGCATTAAAGACTTGAATGTAGGACCTATACAATAAAATACATAGAATAAAACATAAGCAGTAAGCTTCTTGACATTGGTCTTAGTAGTGTTTTCGTGAATTTCACTCCCAAATTAAGAGGAACAAAAACAACAATTAACAGGTCTACATCAAACTAAAAGCCTTCTGCACATCAAAGGAAACCAACAACAACAAAAAAAGGCAACCACTTGAATAGGAGAAGATATTTGCAAATGATATTTCTAACATGGGGTTAATAGCCAAAATATATAAAGAACTCAACAACAATAATTAAAGAAACAACCAGATTAACAAATGAGCAGAGCATCTGAATTGACACTTTTCCAAGGAAGACATACAGATGGCCAACAGGCACATGCAAAGATGTTCAGCATCACTAATCACTAGGGAAATGCAAATCAAAACCACAATGATTGGATTAGTGCCATTGAGCCAAGAGATACCAAAGAGCTTGCTCTCTTTCTCCCCACCATGTGAAAACATAGCAAAAAGGTTCCATCTGTAAGCTAGGAAGAGAGCTTTCACAAGAAATGGTGTCTGCCAGCACCTTGACCTTGGACTTCCCAGCCTGCAGAATTGGAAGAAATAAATGCATTGTTTATCCCCCAGTCTGTGGTATTTTGTAATGTCAGCCTGAGCTGACTGAGGTGCTGCTTGCTCCGTCGTCTTGTTGGAGAGTATGACACATGGTTACCAGTGTCAGGGAGGGCTCCAACTCCATGGTGGAGAGCAAAGATCATCACAGTGCCAGCCATCTGTTATAGGTCCAAAACACTGCTGCCCGCTGCATCTTGGTATCAGAGTCACCAAGAAACACAATGCAGTCAAGCACTGGATGGAACAAGCTTTTCTTATATGGAGAAGAGATAGATTAAGATCAGCTTCAGTAGTGGGCTTTGGTCCCCCAAGGCTGGTAGCCAAAACAAGGCAATCAGCTTATACACACCACCTCCTACTCAACCCCATGTGGAGTCTGAAATACTGAAAGCTGGGGGCATACCTGCGGGGCCATTGATGAACACCCTTAAATGGAACAAAGGGGCACACACATTGATTCTGAAACAGGGAAATACATTCCCACATAGGGCAGAGCCCAGTACAGACAGTGTGGGCTCTTCATCTCTAGGTATGGAAGTGTTTCAGCACCAAGAACCACTCTTATGTGGTTCAAGGGGTATTGAAGGACTATATGCAAGAGGCTGCCTTTCCCTGTAGAAAGTCACCATGTGCATGGTAACATCAAAGGCTCTGAGAAGTCCTGCAGTGGAGAGATTAACATAGTGCTCCCCAGATGCACCTGTCCACAGAACCCATTTTCAAAGCACTTCTGTGTCCTAGTTTTATGCAGAAGTTACCTTGGGAAAAGCTAGATTAGGTCATAGTTTGCTTCCGGCTACATTTAGAATGTATGTCTGGCTCAGGTAGAACATGAGCATTTCCTTTTTGCTTGACCTGGAGCTTAGATATCCCGAAGTTCATGTCCATATATGATCTGGCTAGTTTGAAGGCTAACAAGAACAAGGTGAACTGAATACTGCCCAGTATTTTGAATATAAAAGAAAACTATGAAAAGGACTATAGGGTCAACTTCCAGTGTAGTTTTAATTATTCCCAAACAGTTTACTGCTGGACTGTGAGCGACTTGAGGAAAAGAAGTGTGCCCCATGTATTATGCCCATGCCTAGCGCATGTTCAGAGCCCCAAGAAATCAAGAGCACATGCTTGTTGAATAAATGAAATCATTTGTAGGTAATAATGGATTCATAAACCTTTAATGCTGGAAAGAAGCCAAGTGATTATTTAGTCCAGATTTGTTTTAGAAACAAAGAAACCAAGAGTATGGGAAAAGAGATCAGTGATGGGCCAGCGAAATGGCCTTGATTTGCATACGTGAAAAACAACAATGAGGTCCAGTTACTCCTTGATTTCTTGAAATCATGAATTTCATTATTTCTACAGGGATATTCTAGAGAAAGGAGTCTGTTCTCTGGGTTGGGGTGTTTTGAGAATGGGATGTTGAGAGAGGCCAGAGATATTTTACACGTTGAGTTTGCCCTTTATCCCTGTTTACCTTTAATTATTTACTTCAGCAACTATTATACCTATTTACAATGATTGACTTGAGGTTCATAAACAACAGATTTATTTCTCACAGCTCTGGAGGCTGAAGTCTGAGATCAGGGTGCCATCATGGTCAGGTGCTGGGGAGGGACCCTCTTCAGGATTGCACTGGTCTTCCATGTGTTCTCATATGGTGGAAGGGGCAGGGAGTCCTCTGGGTCCCTTTTATAAGGGCACT